CACAAGCCATAGTAACCAACGATATGTCTGACTGGTGACCCTGTTCCTCACAAAGCATTATTCCCTTACACGTGCCAGAGATTGATTGCTGTATGATTATTTTGAAACTGGCTGATAAAGCAACAAGATTTGCAACAAAAATACCCCAAAATAATTGCTCAGTGCCATTATAAAAAGTCTCAATATGTGAGAACATTATGATTGCATAACAGCATCTTAAGGAAATGTCAACAACTTATAATAAAGCTTGAATAAAGTGTAGTGTATACAGTATAGGAAACAATATTAAAAATAACCATCGCACTCCCAGTTTGTAATTTAAAAATGTTTTAATTCCCATATTTAATTATACAATTCTAATCAGGAATAAAACATGAAATATAACAACTGCTGTTCTCCGCTAAGTAGCAGTGACGTCACCAGACATTGTGCCAGGCTAGGTGCACGTTGTGGCCACATGAACATAATGAACACAATCCACATCTCAAGTGAGAACATTGGTCATGGAAAATCAATGAAAACACAGTAGCTTTTGAACTATATTACATTGTGAAAATTAGTAAATACAGAAAATTTTATTTTAATGTGCATACTTTAAAAAAGACAAGTCAGAATTCAGTGTCTCTTCAAAACAACAAATTCTGCAAGTAAGATTTGCTTTTTTTACTCTTACATTTTCATGTTTGGACTGTCTTATATATCAACCCACACCAGATATATTATTTTTCACTACCACCTGAGCTGGCATAACTTTAGTGATTGCCATTTATTTGCAGCCAACAAGTGAATTAAGTGATAACAATTTGAAATGAGTGGGTTATAAAAAATAATTTACTCGTATTACCCCTGTACATAAATTAATATGACTAAAAGTTTTGCTATCTTACATCGTACCAATTTCTGATCTAGCCCATGGATGATATAGCATTGGAGGCTCGTGGTGATAGTATTGGAAATCTATTAAACTATTACAAAAATATTTTACCAGGTAAGGCTCACTGAGCTATATAGCTTTTTTAGAAGTGACCTGGCCACAAATGCCAGCTCAACGAAGTGGCTTATCGTGTGGAAATTTATCGCAGCCAAATACTCTAAATGCACGTGGATTCTAAATGTGGAGATACAAACTAGAGGATCATGAGAAAAATCCACGTGAGAACGGAAAACATGCTAACTATACAGGTGTCCGGATTGTCTCCCACCATATGAGCATGTGGATTTAACGCACCTTCCCTGGAGAACTGGTGTAATTGTGCATTCTTAAGCATTGCTTTCCCTTTCAATTATAAATTCATCCACCTGTGCAATTCACCTGAGACCAGAACACGGGAGCCATGAGCTGGCAATGCAATACAGCAAACCGTCACTATTCACACGTTCTGGATTAGAGTAATTTAATGCATACTAATTCCCTATTCGCGACTGGCTGGACTCCAGTATTTGCGAGTGTATCTGCCAGACCATCGACAGCAGGGAGGTGCGCACAGCATTTTTAAATTGAAACTGTCTGCGAAGATGAGGCACCCCCTTGGCTGCCAACTTTGTTCTTAGTCCCGCAGAAATCCCGTGTACCACGAATATATACTACCTTAAAGATCCTCTGAACTCGCTATTGTGCATTTTACTTAATACATACTTGCTTGTTAATTGCTCCAATGAGAGAAGAAATTGCATCTGCACTTTCCTCTCTCATCAAAGGTAATACAAACCATTGTTCTTTATAATTTAATCTGTATTTATTGTACGGAACATTCACCATTCCTCCCCGATGTTTTAAGCGAGCGTTTTAAAAAACGTAACCCTCGCGAATCCATCACCTGGCTACATCTATATGTAGCCAGGTGATGGGAGAGCATCCATCGACTTGAAAAGGCCTTTTCACAGACTTTGCAATTGTATTAGAGAGTGCGACACTTGTTCTGAAAGTGTCTTGTCAAGGCAAAGTGCATAGAAAACTGCTTTTTACCCTTTGAACATTTTTTTCTAGAATTGATGAGTGAACTTGAGTCACCAAATTGTACTTGGATATGTAGCTTTTATCACAAATATGGCATCGCCAAATATTTTTACCAAACACTGTGATTCCTTTGTAGGAATCATCTATGTAATTGTACATTTCTTTCACTCATCTGACCAAATGAATGGTGTTCTTTATAATTCCATACATTTTACTATTTGCACAAAAATCTTTGTTTCTGGAAGATAATTCAGTGGAAAAATGTTGATCAGCCAACAACTTATCAAAGTTTTTGCATGCAATATTTTTATGAAGCACTTCACCTGTCTGCTCATGGATCTTTTGACTTTTAACATTGGAGCCAATTAATTTTTCATTTTCAGAGTGTCTTAACATAAGTCACGAAATTGTACTTAGTCGTATACCTTTTGACACACATTCAGCATTTCCAAGACTTACGGCTATATTTTTTGGTTTTGTAGGAGTTATCGATGTAATTGTTCATAGCTGTTCAATATAAGTGTGAATGTCATTATCTTACTGTGTCTTGGGACATATTCTTGAATAACAGTTTCAAGCACAGTGCCAATAGCGCACAGATCTGGGTTTGTAGAAGATGCGTCAGGAGAGGAACAATTATGCTCTATAGGCAAGTGCTCAGAAGTTGAACAGGCATTATTTTCCTGAAGCACTTCACTAATTTCACCGGAATTGAAAAACAATGCACTGCTCACACCACCTTCCGTTTATTCTTGAATCTTATGTCTTTGGAAATTCGAGCCAAGGGATTTTCCAGTTTTGGAGTGTGTTGACACGTGAGTTACAAAATTGTACTTATTCGTATACCTTTTGACACACATTCGGCATTGCCAAAACCTACGGCCATACGTTTTGGTTATGTAGGAGCTGTCGATGTAATTGTTCATAACTGCTCGATATAATTGTGAAAAATTCATTATCCCATTGTGTCTTGGGACGTATTCTGGAACAACAGTTCCATCCACAGTGCCATGAGCACACAGATCTGGGTTTGTAGAAGATGCTTCAGGAGAGGAATAATTCTGCTCCATAGGCAAGTGCTCAGAAGTTGAACAGGCATTCTTTTTCTGAAGCACTTCACTTATTTTACTAGAACTAAAAAACAATGCACGGTTTACAACACCTTCCGTTTTCTCTAGGATCTTATGACTTTTGAAATTCGAGGAAATTAATTTTGCAGTTTAGGAGTGTGTCAACATGTGAGTCACAACATTGTACTTAGTCGTATACCTTTTGACACACATTCGGCATTGCCAAAACCTACGGCCATACTTTTTGGTTATGTAGGAGTTGTCGATGTAATTGTTCATAGCTGCTCGATATAATTGTGAAAATGTCATTATCTCATTGTGTCTTGGGACGTATACTGGAACAGTTTCTTCCACAGTGCCACGAGCACACAGATCTGGGTTTGTAGAAGATGCTTCAGGAGAGGAACAATTCTGCTCCATAGGCAAGTGCTCAGAAGTTGAACAGGCATTCTTTTTCTGAAAGATTTCACTTATTTTACTAGAACTGAAAAACAATGCACGGTTTACAACACCTTCCGTTTTCTCTTGGATCTTATGACTTTTGAAATTCGAGTCAATTAATTTTCCAGTTTCAGAGTGTGTCAACATATGAGTCACAAAATTGTACTTAGTTGTATATCTTTTTACACATATTCGGCATTGCCAAAGCTTACGGCCATACTTTTGGTTATGTAGGAATTGTCGATGTAATTGTTCATAGCTTCTCGATATAATTGTGAAAATGTCACTTATCTCATTGTGTCTTGGGACGTATTACTAGAACAACAGTTCCATCCACAGTGCCACGAGCACACAGATCTGGCTTTGTAGAATATACTTCAGGAGAGGAACAATTCTGCTCCATAGGCAAGTGCTCAGAAGTTGAACAGGCATTATTTTCCTGAATCACTTCACTTATTTTATTGGAATTGAACAACATTGCACTCTTCACACCACCTTCCGTTTTTTGTTGAAGCTCATGACTAAAGATATTTGAGCCAATGCATTTTCCAGTTTTAGAGTGTGTCAACATGTGAGTCACGAAATTGTACTTAGTTGTATATCTTTTTACACATTTTCGGCATTGCCAAAGCTTACAGCCATACTTTTTTGTTATGTAGGAGTTGTCGATGTAATCGTTCATAGATGCTCGATTTAATTGGGAAAATGTATTTATCTCATTGTGTTTAGGGAGACATTCTAAAATAGCAATTTCATGAACTGGAGTGCACCGCTTGGTAGGCATCTGCTCACAAGATGAGCATGGACTATTTTTATGAACTCCTTCACCTGTTATACTAGGACTGAAAAGCAATGGCTTGTTTTCAACATCTACAGATTGCTTTTCGATAGGACACTTTTCTAAATTAAAGCCACTGTCTTTTCCAGCTTCGCAGTGTGTTATCATGTGAGTAATCAAATTTTCCTTTGTCATATAGATCTTGTTACAAAGACGGCATTTCCAAAGCTTCCGACTAAGGAAGGAATTATCTATGTAATTAGTCATATCTGCTCGACTTATTTGTCGAATAGTTTGTTTTTCATTTTGTTTTGAAACACGTTTTTGAATAATGGTTTCAACTACATTACTTGCACATATGTTTACGTTTGCAGCAGTATCATCAACAGAGTACATACCTTGCGTATCAGATAAATTATCACAAGTTGAAGATATACTATTTTTCTGAAGTGAGTCATTGGTTTTGCTTTGATACATAAGCAAAACATCTTTTGTAATATCAGATTGCTCTTGAATCGTACAACAACCTGTATTGATTACTGCAACGTCTAGGGGTAGTGTGTTAGAAAGTATGGCATTTACATCACAAATACCATCTTTGAGGCACAGGTTTTAAATTGTCCTCTTGCATCAAATCTGATATATGTGATGTGATATTTTTTGAGGCTTTATATTCTTCAACCATCTCCAACTTCTTGGTTTGTCCATGTTCAGCGGCACAATGTGATGTATTTATTTGACTACTTATGACCTTTCCGTCACTGAAATGTGCACCATATTGCATGCCTTTCTCTGCTTTAGGATTTGCATTGGATGGACTGGCTGTACAACAAAAATTATTTTCTCTAACCTCTTCATTACCAATGCCAGGCAACTCAACAATTTTGTCTTGCTCATAGTTTTCCAGCATTAAATTGTTTTCATTTCTGAGTACATCTTTATATGGACCCTGAGATTCTCGGAAATTTGTGTTTGGGTGACATGAATTGAATGCTTCATAAGCTGCTTCATGTCTTAGTACATCTGCACAGCTTTCAGTTGTCCATCCCTTAGATGGCTCGTGGTATGGTTTATCTACAATTGGTTTTGATTCGGAACCAGTACCACTGACAATATAATCGTTAAGTGCTGAAACAGATAAGCTATTAAATTTTGGCAATGGTGAGATAGCATCACTATCAGAATCATCTGCACTGTTATTAATCTCATCGCCACACATTATATCATAAATAGGCGATGCTGCCATCTTCATGTAATTGATCAGATGTACTTCTTCGTTACTTTCTTCATCCTCATAAAACTCACTGGTGCAGAAAAAGTCATCGACTGCATCTTGGCTATTGAGTTGACATCTGGCTTCAGCATTCAAAACTTCCTCCTTAAATTTAGCATTGCTCAAGTGCAGCTGTTGCTGGTCATCATGAGAAGATCCACCAGAGACACCGGACATATCACAAGTGGTGGTAGCAAGTCCAATCAAGTCCTCTTCATCACAAACATCAGCATCCTGATGGTGAGGTGATGTTAAACAGTCTTCTGTAGACATTTTGATTGCTCCGGGTAGATAATAGTTCTGATATGTGCACAAAAAAGCAAGAAAAACACATGTTTAACAGCAAAATACATTGGAAGAAGAGTACAGGCAGTATACTCTTTGGTTATTTCAGTAAAGTCACGTAGGTAAAAAAAATGATCACGACGTTTCGATCGCAACACAAGCAGTCGTCCTCAGGAGGAAAAAATAATCCAGCAGTGGAACTGCTGAACCAGCGAGAGAGCTGTTACAACAAGGTTATATAATCCAGCGAGAGCTGTTACAACATGGTTATATTACCTTGTTGTAACAGCTCTCTCGCTGGATTGTTTTTTACGCCTGAGAACGACCGCTTGTGTTGCGATCGAAACGTCGTGATATGTTATTTTTTGTTTTGTTTAATTGTTTCTACCCACGTGACTTTACCGAAAGAACCAAAGAGTATGGAATCCTGCAGTCACGAAAACTTCAAATCAAGATAGTACAGCCAGTTATCGACATACAAATGCCCGACTTACGAACATCCGCACTTAAGAACCAGCTTCCTGATTTTTTGACATTGACTTAAAACGCGAACTTGGGCTTGCATACTGAAGCGCGGAACTATGTTGTTCAGTGGAGTGATCCTCCACAAGATGTAATGAGTCAGCCTCGCACGGGGAGTGAGCGTTTGTGTGTGCGCGCACATTTGTGCCTATGAAAGTGAGTGAGCGTGTGTGTGAAAGTGAGCGTGTGGGGAGCGGTCGTGTAGCAGCGGTTAGCAAGCTGTGCTACGAACCTGACGACCCGAGTACGATTCCTGCTTATGGTCAACACCAATGACGATTATCTGATCCGGTCCTGGGCCTCCCCTAGGTCGACTCAGCCTCAAATGAGTATCTAGTGCGGTATGTAAACATCGCCACTCAGGAGACAAAGGCGGCCGCGCGTACTTTTGGCCACCGACCTCCTCACGTGCCATGCCGGTCTTCATAGGTGCTAGCTAACAGCACTTGCCTCAACAGTCTGTTAAGGATATACACGAGATCTTTGTATTTGTGTGTGTGCGTGCGTGGTGTGCAATTGTGGTGACTCATTGTGCCCCTTCGGACAAGCAAGCCAGTGTCAGGATTCAAGGTCAGTAAACGTAAAACTGATTTTTTTTTCTATTTATGTTACTTCATTTTATGTTTTAATAACTATATAGTACTTACTGCATGCAAATGTACAATATGTTTTGTTATTAATGAGTTGTAACAATGCTTCCCTTTTTTGTTGACGCGTAACAAATTTTATGACACCGACCGTATGGGCATTTAAATTCAGTGCATTATTGGGTTGCGACTGACGAACCATTCGACTTACGAACGGGTCTCAGGAACTGAGGTAAACTTTTATGATGAGGGAAAACTCGGTGAGATGATGGAGAGCTGAGTATTGCATTTAAGAATATTAAGCCACTATGGACAGATAACAGCAAGTCTACGGTCCAATGTAACCGACCACGCAATAATCTCTGCATTTACCAACGCAGGCCATGAGTAAAGTAGGAATTTAAGACCAAGTTAGTACCACATACCACTGTATTATCATGAATTGACACAAGTCATCATTTATGTAGGTACAGTACCTACATAAAATAACAAAACATTAAACGTCTCTCATTATTTTATAGCATGGTGACCCCCTCCCTCCTCGCCACAACTTTACCTTGCAAGAGGTGACGAGTCGAAGCTCCCGGTTCAAGAGAGGTTACAGCACGGTCATTGTTGCATACGGTACTCTCACGATCGTGATGGTACCTGGAAAATAAGCAGGTAGACACCAATTTGTCGATTTAAAGCTTCTTTCGTGACTGCAGGGATTCATCTTCTTGGTTCTTTCGGTAAAGTCACGTAGAAGGGAAGTAATAAAATAATAAAAATAAAACTATAAAATAATACAAATAAAACATAATAAAATAATAAAAACTAAAACATTATACAATTATAAAAATAAAACATAATAAAATTATACAATAAAACATTATGAAATAAAAATAAAACATAATAAAATAATAAAAATAAAACAATTAAATTTCGATTTAAAGCTTCTTTCGTGACTGCAGGGATTCATCTTCTTGGTTCTTTCGGTAAAGTCACGTAGAAGGGAAATAATAATAATAAAATAATACAAATAAAACATAACAAAATACAATTCTCACGACGTTTCGGCCACAACGCAAGCAGCCGTCCTCAGGTGTCGGAAAGACAGCGTCCGAATGAACACCACCAAGTTTGGCAGCGTATATTTAAGCTGGGTTAGTGGAGGTGGGCGCCTTGACAAAGGAATTTACATATTTATGGGAAATGCAGATATGGGATTAGTCACTACTTGTGATTATTTTGTCTTATATACTGCATACAAATATAACTTAGCTTTGACTAAGGAACGATATCGTAAGGAAGAGCATCCGTGCCTATAACATCTTGACACTGAAACGTTCTTACCCCGTGCCCCTACAGGTAGAAGTGTTATTCAAACAATGTTCAGCGATTCATATTCTTGGTTCTTTCGGTAAAGTCGTCACGTAGAAGGGAAGTAATAAAATAATAAAAATACATTTAAAGCTTTCGTGACTGCAGGGATTCATCTTCCTGGTTCTTTCGGTAAAGTCACGTAGAAGGGAAGTAATAAAATAATAAAAATACATTTAAGCTTCGTGACTGCAGGGATTCATCTTCCTGGTTCTTTCGGTAAAGTCACGTAGAAGGGAAGTAATAAAATAATAAAAATAAAACATAATAAAAGAATTCTCACGACGTTTCGGCCACAACGCAAGCAGCCGTCCTCAGGTGAAGACCAGGTCTGTCGGGACAAGATATAGTTCTTCACCTGAGGACGGCTGCTTGCGTTGTGGCCGAAACGTCGTGAGAATTGTATTTTATTATGTTTTATTTGTATTATTTTATTATTATTATTTCCCTTCTACGTGACTTTACCGAAAGAACCAAGAAGATGAATCCCTGCAGTCACGAAAGAAGCTTTAAATGTTTTATTTTTATTATTTTATTACTTCCCTTCTACGTGACTTTACCGAAAGAACCAGGAAGATGAATCCCTGCAGTCACGAAAGAAGCTTTAAATCGAAATTTAATGTTCAGCGAGTTTCGGAATATCTTTTGGTAAACCTGTATTCTTTACTAGTGTATCAAGTAATTTAAGCGACTCGCTCACTGAAACCTTAGCGCATAGCGAAATCACATCAAAACTCACCAACATATCATGAAGTTTAAGTTTAATATCTTTGATCACATTCACAAGATGTTCTGAATTTCTTATGAGTGAAGATGTCCTACCGATGTAGGGCTGTATTTGTTTAGTTTAGCTTTGACTAAGGAAGAGCATTCGTGCCTATAACATCTTAACATCTGTAATGTTCTTACCCCGTGCCCCTACTTACTGGGGCACCCTTGAACAAGAGCTTTGTAAATTTTTATTTAAAGCTTCTTTCGTGACTGCAGGGATTCATATTCTTGGTTCTTTCGGTAAAGTCACGTAGAAGGGAAATAGTAAAATAATAACAATATAAACCAATAAATAATAAAAATAATAAATATTGTTGTGGATTTCACACCTGATGATGATTGCTTGTGTTGCAATCGAAACATCTTGAGAATTGTTATTGTTTCATATTATTTTATTATTTCTCTTCTACGTGACTTTACCGAAAGAACCAAGAGCTTTATAGCTCTTCGGATTCCTCCTGCGGTATAAATAAAAATTATAATCTCGCAGTTCGCAAGCATTGGTTGAAGCCTGACTACCATGTGAGACGTCGACACCGGTAGTTTGCTTGAATTTAAACAATGTTCCTGAAACGATGCACTTTTAAGGAAGTGTTAAAAAATGTTTTTACGTGGAGGTACATATGTGTGAATAAGGCATTGATCATACCATGTTACTTATATTCTCCATGACGACACGAACGATTGTTGTTACACATTGGACCACCAATTGACCACCCCCACAACTATGCTAACACAGACAATAGTTATGACAGCAATGTATGATATTACACCTCAGTTGTTGTGGATTCTGAGTCGTGGCTGAGGGGAAACTGGCCCAGACGTCGTGCTTGCGCACACACGAAGTGAGTTGTCCACGCCGCTCAGTGCTGGCTTGGTGTTAGTCGACGTTAATTGTCGGTTGTTTGATGTTTTCTTTCGCGTTGGTTAGAAATATACAGTATTTGCTTGTGTAAACGAAG